GAGAGAGAGAGTTGGAGAAAAGGGAAACCAGAGAGAGAGAGAGCACGCTAGAGAAAAGGGAAGCAGAGAGTGCGCGCTTGATGTGGATGAAGAGAACCCAATAGAGAGAGACCCAAAAATGCATTTTATCTGAATTTATCAACTCTTGATGTGGATGAAGAGAACCCAGTAGAGAGAGACCCAAAAGCTCATCTTCTCTGCAGATTTTGAGAGAGAGACCAAAACCCAATCCATCTCTGCGAAATCTCCCAATGTCAACAACCCAACTGCAAATTCCATTCCATTGCTGGGTCCTTTGGAGATCTGAGAGCTCTGGGAAGCCATGCCCATTTCAAAGAATGCCCTCTTCATTTCTTCTCTCATCATTTGCTGGTACTCCTCCAACATTGGGGTTCTTCTCCTTAACAAATACCTTCCAAGCAACTACGGATTCAGGTACCCAATCTTCCTCACAATGTGCCATATGGGTGCCTGTGCATTATTGAGCTACCTGAGCATAGTTTGGCGAAAGATGGTTCCTCTTCAGTGCATTAAGTCATGGACTCAATTCCTCAAAATTGGAGCTGTAAGTGTTGTGTTTTGTGGTTCAGTAGTTGGAGGAAACATATCTTTAAGGTTTTTGCCCGTTTCATTTAACCAGGCAGTTGGGGCCACCACCCCAGTTTTTACTGCTCTCTTTGCTTATCTCATGACCTTCAAGAGAGAGGCATGGCTCACTTATGCAGCCCTTGTGCCCGTTGTTGCAGGTGTGGTTATTGCAAGTGGGGTAATTCATATTTTTCATCTTTGCTGTGAATTGCCAAATTCATAACTCTTTCATCTGTAAATTTTGGGAAATTGCCAGTGGTGTGGTTCATAATAGCCTCATTTTTTTTGTGCCCGTGCCTGTCATTACCTGGTTCATGCCTTTACTGAGAAATTCGGGTATTGATAGAATCATCACAAATAACTGATCTGCCTTTGTTACATCTTGCTCGCCCTTTTTGATATGCCTTTCTGATTGAATTTGCTCTCTGTTTCTGTGTGTGCGGGCATGCATGCATATGTTACTTGTTTTCTATCTCTGTATTCGGTTTGTCATGGTGAAATTTTTGTTTTTTTTTGTCGTTGGTAGGGAGAGCCAAGCTTCCACTTGTACGGTTTTATCATGTGCATTGGAGCAACAGCAGCAAGGGCTTTCAAGTCGGTCCTTCAGGGGATATTGTTGTCATCAGAAGGGTTAGTTGAAGTAGCTCCCTTTAAATCTCTCTCAGCCCTTTTAGGATTTTCTTGTCAGTTGTTTATTTTGTGTACAGCAGAATACTTATTTCTATATGAAGTCCAATGTGCTTTTATTTACTCAGTATTTTTCGCTTTTTTGTTTTCTATTATACGTTGTCTAATGATAGTTTTGTAAAACGTTTCTTAATTTGGCAATTCTGTCAATTTCTCTTTTGTTTTCTAGTAAATAAGGGAGGTGATTCTGTAATTGGCATGTTTCAAAATAGACTAGGATCATCTTTCCTTTGCTTCCCTAATAATTGATATCTGGATTCTCAAATATACTTTTCAGCCTTCCCAATTTCAAGGGAATGATAGGAGGAATAAGGTTCATACTTGTGCTTTTTCTGAAATCACTATTTTCCCTAGAACCCTCAAATGGGTTATTCTAGTAAATCTTCTGGCCTTCCTGGATAGTGGCATAACTTTTGGGAACCCTGACATGAAAGCCTTTAAATTATGATTACTCGAAGTTTAGACCCAAGCCTTCTGACTATTGGGTCTCTGGCCATTAAGAATCAAGCATCTCCATAGTCCAGTATGTATTCCTATGCTGATCTTGGGAATCAAGCAGCTTGTCAGCCTTGACCTTGAGTTTGTATATTATGTTGATTGTACTATTTGTTGTGTAAAAACATGTATCTATTGTCATTAAATACTTCTTGATTATCATGTAATTGTAGGTGCAGTGAAGCCATTTTTCCCAAGTCCTTTGTATATATCCCAAGTGCTTAATTATGCATAAGTTAGAATCTTTGCTTCTAATCCAATTCTTACTTTGATATATCCAACTGTAGCCCTCACCTCATATCGTATTTTGTATTATGGCATTCTCTCATGATGTTGTAATTTTATCATTCCATAAATATTACAAGCGTGACATGGTGAATGAACGTATTCCTTTAAAAAGTAACACCCCTGATGTTTTCTCCCCATATCTTAATATTTGGCTTTTATGTGTTGCACCAAAATTTAGTAAGTACTCATTGAAATCAGTGTATATCTTACCCTTTTTACTTGCAGGGAGAAGTTGAATTCCATGAACTTGTTGCTGTATAGTTTTGGTTTTGTTGCCTGCTGTTCTTGTTATGGAATCAAATTTGGCAGATATCATTCTTTCACTTGGAAAGGATAGGTTTATGTTTTTCCTTATTTTGGTGAACTCTACCATGGCTTACTCAGTCCAACTTCTTGGTGACAAAGCATACAACTCCTCTGACTCTCCAGGTTTGATATTTCTCCATGCATTTTTCTTGTGAATTCCCTTTAAATATGGAAGTTTTTAGGTTTTAATGATGCATTTTGACTACCTCCTTGAGCTTAGTTGCTTTCTTTAACTTTCTCTATGGCATAAAATTGATCTCTGCACTTTGATGCTTGACTTAATTGAAATACAAGGATGTGAATAGTTTTACCATGTTTTAAACTGATGAAATTGAGTGGGAGTTTTCAAATTGATATTTAACTCGGCATCTATTTCTTTCATTTTTCAAAAGGTTGTTTCCTTCTTTTGTTCTTTCATTCTCTTCGTGGTTAAAGCATTTCTGCTTAGACTAATCACATTGCGTTGAATTTCCTTAAGATGACGTCAACATCCAGTGGCCATGGAACTTGGTTGACTTACTTCAGCAGGGGGTCCTCATTCCTCAACCATGCAGCCAAAGAATCATCGAAGGGCTTGCACTTTCTTTGTCATTAACAATGTGTAGCTTTTCCTTTGTTTTTGGTATGCAGATCCCAAAACATATAGAGAGCTATAACATTCCATATGAGCTGTTGTATCTTGTGGGCTTGCGCTTTCTTGAACCGTCACATTGGTTCTGGAACAATTTCTTCTGATGTTACTATAAGGGATTGTTTCTCTGTTCTTTTATTGATCATATCTGGGAAGTCTATATTCCACATATAATTT